CTCTTTCTTGTTTATGTCGTCATAATAGATTTCAGTAAATTCTTTGCAACTTTGTCTCAACTCTTCAACTCAACCGGAATTTAGAGTTTCAAGAAACAAATAATCCAAAGCGTTGACTAATGTTCTTATACTAACTTAATCGCTGTTTTAGCTGAACGCCCAACTTATCAATTATGGGGATACAGGTTTCCATTCCGCATCTTTCCTTTTCATTCAGTTATACAGGCTTATTTGATATCGAGTGGCGAGCCCTTCCTCGAAATAGTTAATCGCGCAAACAATACCCTATCTATGATCAGACCCATGCAGTGGAGTTGCAATATTAAACAAATTAAATTATTTGAAATCGCACTAATTACAAAATTATTACTCACTTAAATAATAAATGTAGTTTGATTGTACACAGATTGTTTTATAGATACCAAAATTTTTGATTGAAAACTTTATTATATTATTTTATCACTACAGCTCTTTCGGCCGAGTGCTTTTCTCAAGTGATCTATAGTCTTTACGTAATAGGTTTAGGACAAAATTAAAATAGCAAAGAATAACAAGAAAAAAGCGAGAAGAGAAAATTTTTTTATGAGTTACCAAGAGAATTGTTACCAGAATTCAATCACTTTTTCTTTGATATGTAACAAGTGCAGCCCCTTCCATCAATCAATTTACTTCGGGTCTTGTTTAGTTTGGAGAAGTCTCTTCTTCTTCAAGTGCCATCTCCGCGGCGAAGGTCGGCAATCATCATAGCTATTCGAACTTTTGAGCTTGAAACTTGACTTGACGGCTGCTCTGAAAAGTTGATTTGATGTACATCCGTACCTCTCTCTCAGGTTGCGCAGCCATGACATTTTATGCCTCCCTATGCTGCTCTTTCCTTGGATCTTTCACTGCATAATCAGTTGTAGCAAGGTGTATTTCTCCCCACGTGTAATATGTCCGAGAGATTCCAGTTTTCTTGTATTTAAATTCTATATCTTTATTCATCCTTTGTTTGTAACGTTTCTGTCCACGATATTTTCAGAATTCGTCTATACACCCACTGCTCGAATGATTCCAGTTTTTTCATTGATGTCGCCTTCATAGTCCAAGTCCTCCCTCTACTACTTTTCCACCAAATATTCTGCGAAGTATCTTTCTTCCCCATGCTTCCAATGTATTTTGTATGGTTTCAGCAGCGTATAGCATTGTGGGTCTAATTATAGTTTTGTATACTCTTATTTTTGTATTACGAGATATATCTTTGGCCTTAATTATTTTGCTCATGGCTCCAGCACACCTGTTGCTCTTGGTCAGTCTCAGGTTGATTTCAGTTTCTTCTCTTACATGTCTGATGAATAAGAGTACCTAAGTACATATATTCATCCTACCTTCTCGAATTCTACAACTGATCTATTCTCCACCTCCAATTTAAAGGATACCCTGGTGTTTATTTCTTTTTTGCTCGAGATCCATGTACTTCGATTTATTAATATTAACTTTCAGTCCCATTTTAGAGCTTTCCTAAATCAATCTTTTTGTTATATTTGATAGTTCTTTTCCATTTCTTGCAATGAGAACCACATCATCAGCGTATGCTAAGCATTGGTGCTCCTTGTATAAAATAGTTCCGGACCTATTTATCCCACTAACCCTTACAATTTTTTCTAGAACTATATTGAATAGCAATGTAGACAACGGGTCTCCTTGGCGAACACCTTTTTTTCACTTCGAATTCTTCTGAGATTGTACCGTTGCATCTCACAGCACAAATGGTTTGTCTAATTGTCATTTTTACCAATTTTATTATTTTTTCTGGCACTTGGAATTCTTTTAGTGCTTCTATTAACTTGTTTCTGTCTATTGTATCGTAGGCAGCCGCCTTGTAATCAATGAAAAGTACTTGTGCTGAATGTTGTATTCATAGCAATTGATCAGGATTTGTTTTAGCATAAAAATTTGATCGGTTGTTGATCTTCCTTTCCTAAATCCTCCCTGGTATTCTCCTAGATTCTTCTATATATATATATATTATATATAATATATATATATATATATATATATATATATATATAATTATATATATATATATATATAATGAATACTGGATATTCGTGACTGTCAATTTAAACGAACAACAAAGTTTATTGGGGCTGCAGTCAGAAGTTTGGCCGGGATGTTACAGAAACACTCTTTTGACTTTTGGTCTAGCTTTCGGAATTGTTTAATTCCTTTATCAAGACACTGTAATTAGAAAAATGTGTAAATATTTACAATATATCACAAAATATCAGTGTACTTACTAGTCGTTGAGATTATTTGTACGAAGCTATGACACTCAACATTTATAACTTTGTTGTTTATATATATATATATATATTATATATATTATATATATATATATATATATATATATATATATTATATATATATTTCTAATCGTTTTTTAATTAGTATGGCGAGTACTTTATAAATTATCTCTAATAAAGATATTCCTCTATAGTTTGCGCATTCAGTTCATCTCCCTTTTTGTGTATAGGAATTATAATCGACTTATTCCATTCTTGAGGTATTTCTTCGGCATCTCATACTTCTAGTATTAGCTCACCAAGTTTGTTTATTAAGGCTTCTCCTCCATATTTATGTTCGCTGCCACAATGCCGCTCTCCCAGGGCTTTTTTGATTTTTCATATCTTTTATTATTTCTTCAATTTCTTCTCTTGTGGGCTTTGGTATTTCTTCTAGTACTATTTGAGGTTTAGGAACATAACAATTTTCGTCAGTAGTCACTTCTTCATTTAGCATCTCTTCGAAATATTCTTTCCACCTTTCACATATTTGATCTTCGTCCACTATCAGGTTTCCTTGCTTATCTTTTACATTTATCGTTCTTCCCTGGTACCCAGTTTTAATGTATTTTACTTCTTTATAAAAACTTTTTATTTCATTTTTCTTGTAATTTTCTTCAATGCGCTTAATTTTATCATCCATATACTTTCGTTTCCGCTCCCTTAGGATTCTCTTTACTTTTTTTCGTTGTTCGGCATACCTTTCTAGGTCGTCTTGTTTTTGCGATCGTAAACTTTTTAATCTCAAATCTGATCTCTTTTTAACTCTGTTCTGCATTCTGCATTGAACCAGTGGTTTTTTCTAAATATTTTTGTTCTTGGTATGTTCTTCGACGTAGCTTCATTTATAGTGTTTGTCATTTTCAAGAACTTTTGTTGTATGTTACTCACAGTAGTACTATCTTGTTTGGCGTAGGTTTCTTGTATATCCTTTTGATAATCCTGCGCTACCTCAAATTTTTGCAGTTTTTCAAAGTTAAATTTACGTTGCACTTTCTTTTTCCGTTTATGCTTTTTAATGATTGCTTCTCTCATATTAATTTTAACCAAAAAGTGATCTTAGTCTACGTCAGCCCCTCTGCACCTTTTCACATTTGTTATTAAATTGGCAAACTTCTCTTGTATTAAGATGTGGTCTATTTGATTAGTTCCATTTGATCCCGGAATTTTCCACGTTCCTTTATATATATTTTTTCTCCTAAAATGGGTACTCATTATCTTCATCCTGTTTTCAATTGCGAATGTTATTAATCTTTGTCCGTTATCATTTGTATTCAAATGTTTACTTTCACCCCCTGTTATGTTTTTATATATATCTTCTCTTCTGACCTTTGCATTTGCGTCGCCTATAATAATTTTAGTATCTTGTCTGGGCATTTTTTCACACAATGAATTTAATTCTTCATAAAATTCGTCTCTCACTTCTTCTTCTTTTCTTCTGTTGGAGCATGTATATTTATCAACGATATCATATTCTCTTTTCCTTTAATTCTAATTGCATGTGGAATTTTTTTTTGATAAGCCCTAAGTTTCGGGATATCTACCCCTCATCAACTCAAATATGAAGTAGAGAAAACTATTGGTTGCAACGGCATTAACATTTCTAAATATTTCTTACTTTTAGCAAATATCAAAATTTAATTTTTCTGTAAGTCCAAAAAAAGCAGACGAGCATTTCGTTAGATATGAACTTTTCCCACTTTTGTTAGATACAGCAAAAATACTAAATTTATGCCAATATGTAACTTTTGCAGATATGACATTGGATAATTTTTTCAAAATGAAGTGAAAATGGGATAAGGAAAGTAAATTCTTGACAAAATAATGCACTACTAGCAGACTTTTTGTACAATAAAATTAACTTAAAAAATGTCTTATTCTGTCTCTCTTACTATTGTTTTGCAATAGATGTCTTAGTCCTAACTTTTGCTTTCTTCTCCAGTGCCAATAAAACATACACATACACATGTTTTCTTCATTTTCTTGTTGTTTTCTCTTCAATTTGGACGTTGATTATGCTGTAGCTGAAAAATTTCCGTCCTATCTTATTTTGCGTATTCAGTGATTAGTGGTTGTTTTTGCACTTATTCCAATCTATTACTATTATTTATGATACATATTTTCCATACAGCTTTAAAAGATGCAGACAAATGTACAACAATAAACGGCCTCACTGGTTCTTCAAATGTTTAATAATAAGTAGAGTTGATTTATAACATTGGCATAAAACTTTATACCTTCGCCATATTATAAAAAACTGTACAGCAAACCTATTAAAATTAACTATCGTAGAGAAAATAGAAAGCGGGCTGAGAAGATACAAACATCCAAAAATCGGACAGTTGGACTCACACTTACTGCTGCCTAAGATAGAGATGACTTCGCTGTAATGGTTATCCTCTATGAAGATGATACTATAAGAGATCGTATTAGAACAAATCAGGGAAAACACATGATCAATCTTTTTCAATCAATTTAGTAAAAATTAAATCTATATTAATATTTCGACTTTTAATGGCAAGATATGTCGAAATATATATAAGATTGGACAGATCCCAAAGATCAACTTTCGTAGTGATTTATTCTTTGGCTTGGTGCTATTAAAAATATGTATAATTTCTCCTTTATATTTTATTTGAGTCTTCCACGTGCAGGTTAATAAATAATAACATCATAGAATCTTAAAAAAGGTTTAATAAATAAATTATAGTTGTTCTAAAAAAACCCTTATCGAATTAATTCGTAAGTCCATAGATATGTAAAAAACGTATCTAAAAATATTGATAAGACATTTCAACAAAGACAACAATTACAACAGAGCAATATCGACTTTGGCTTATCAACTATTTTGTATGAATATTCCGGAACAAAAGACAGCATAGTCTCAGGTACCATTTTGGTACATCGGTTCTTTCTCTGGAACATTATCTTCTTGTTTTGGTCGTTTGTCGTTCCATGGTTGGATTTCTCCGGAAGCTCCGAAGACGTAGAAGAGACCGGTTGTCGAGAATAGTACTGCCGCGGTGATGAAAACGATGTTCCACAGTTCTTTATCAGTCTGAAAATAAACATAAATTTTAATTGACAGTCAAAAGGAGAAAAAATATTTTCGTTATTCGATATTACAATTACTTTTTCTTGGGAATAAGCCACAATTTAAGTTTAAAATAAGTTATTGACGTTTCAATTTCCACTTCGGAAATCGTTTTTAAAATACAAATATAAACATATGATCTGGAAGACATGAAAATTTCAGTGAGGCATAGTAGCAAAAAAATTCCGTTAATTTATTAATGTTGTATTTTGAAAACGATTGCCGAAGTGGAAATTGAAACGTCAACAAACTTATTTTAAACTTAAATTATGGCTTATTCCACAGCCACCTTTACTTCCAAGCCATGAAGTAGAAATTTGGCAACAACGGGTGGTAGTCCGACCGTGGTTTGTTTTGTTTAACATTTCAAATAGGAAGGCTTGTAAAGTTTGTTGAATTAGTGTTTTTTTAACTTTATTCGAATGTTTTATTTGTAAATTGTGTTTAAATCAATTAGAAAATATTAATATAAATGAAATTTCATTAAATTTAGAACTTTTAGAAGATTCTTAACGACAATTTAAAAGGCAAGATAATATAACCTACAAAACAAACTGAAAATAATAATACTTTTGCTTCTTGTTACAAAATATGTAAACTAAAAACAACAATAATAATACATTTGATTTTTTGTTACAGATGCTCTGGCATTGTTGTGTACCTGGTTGCAAAACCAATTATGCCAGTACTTTAAAAACGAAACAGGCAGAAAGTACGTTTTCGTTTCCCAAAGGTCCCCAAAGAAGGTATACTGGGTTATGCTCTATTCATAGAGAAGGCTATACAATTACCAAATCTTCTGTAGTATGTACCAAACATTTTCATGAAGATGATATTCAGCGGACTGAACAATGAGAAGATAAAGATGGAAATGTACACATTGAAAAGTTAATATTTCCCAAATTAAAAGGCAATGCAGTTCCTAATATATTTCCTGAAGTACCATCATATGTAACTGTTCATCGTACTAAAGAAAGAAGGAATCCCGAAGACAGAAGAAACTTTTTGCATAAGAAGAGGGAACAAGAGATAACATAATTATGACAATTAGACTTAGACAATAATATCCCATTGAAAAACTGGACAAGTAAAATTACAAGTGACTGTGTATATTTCTATGTATTAAACATTAATCAGTTGGGACACAAGTGTGATAATATTTGTGTAATACATAGTGTAATAGTTAGCAGTAATTTTAGTGTAATCGTCAATGTAGGTAAGAATAGATTAAGTAGTAATGATTTGAAATGGATTTTACAATATAGTAAATTAACAAGATGGTCACAATTAGAGAACTTACTTTCTCATTTAGATCTGCTTTTTAGATAAGTGATAACAAATTTGAGTATTACATTCAAAAATCTTTTGAGAATATAGGCTATTTTAAATCGATATACAAGTTATAAATGTGGTATGTTACATTCAACAGATTTTTCATGTATACCTCTCTTAACTTGGTCTATATGACAAAAAACCTATTCATATTTAAAATTGCTACTTTCGTATACCTAAGTATGAAAATTCAACAAAAGTAGTTATAAGTAAATAGTAAAATATTTAATTTTCAATTAGATTAATTTAGAACCATATTTATATTGTGTCGGATTTCTTAGGATGAATTTTTTAATCATAATAGTTACACTAAGTTTTTACTGAAAAAATTTTATATCTTTTGTATTTTTAATAATCTTTTTAAATGTCGTGTTAATGTATTGTGTAATTTATATGATTAAGTACTTAATATTTAAAATTTCTAGAGATTCTTGACTGTATTTGATTGTAAGATTAACTGTTTGACACTGTATTGTTAAGTGCAATAAATTTTACTCTAGTGATTATTTTATTGATAATATAACCTAAATAATAATAAAACTTTATATATATTTATTAGGTAAATATAAGGTTTGATTAATTTAATTTCCCTAAAAATATTTCTGTAATGAATTGAAGTTTTCAAAATATCAGTTTCCTAAAATTCAAATTAGTTTAATTTTCTGTTAGACCTTACAGCTGATTATCGGACTACCGACGTCATAGAATGCGGTGTTGCCTTTTTTACTTCATGGCTTGGAAGTAAAGGTGGCTGTGCTTATTCCCAAGAAAAATATATATAATATTTGATATTATATCATGCAATATAATCAAATTTATATTATTATATATATATTTACATTTTAACCAGCTTATACATTATCAAAAAATTTTTATATTTATCAAATTTATTTATGAGTGAAATCTTTTAAGTTTCTGTAAGTATTGCAAATCTAAGTGTACGTCAGTTTTTTGAAATGTTTGTTTTTTACAGTTACTCCTGATGAAGCTATTAAATAAAGAGCGAAATATATATATATATATATTAACAAAAGTGCATAAAACTTTTTAAGTGCCGTCTCGGTAGGAGGTTGTATATCATCATCACTATCTTTACTCTATCTACTGCTGCTCTGAGGAGTTCTATAGAATTGCATTTAAACCAGTCCCTTAAATTCTTCAACCATGACACTCTCCTTCTTCCTATACTCCTTCCTCCTCTTATCTTTCCCTGTATTATCAGTCTTAGCAGTTCATATCGCTGTCCCCTCATTACGTGTCCTAGATATTGCAACTTTTTTAGTTTTATTGTGTTTATTATTTCGCATTCTTTGCCCATTTCTCGCAATACTTCCGCGTTAGTTTTCTTCTGTGTCCATGCTATTCTAAGCATGCTCCTGGTACACCACATTTCAAAGGACTGTAACTTATTTATGTGTTCTTGCTTCAATGTCCAGCTATCAAATCCATATTGCAGTATCGAAAACACGTAGTATCTCCGTGCTCTCACTCTCAGTCCTAATCTAAGGTCCAAATTATGATAAATAAAAGTGTTGAAAATATTGAAAGTCTAGCTTTCGACACTGTTTTTAGTTGCTTTATCACAATAACTGTTGAGGTTAAAAAAGTCCGCATGCTGTTTGGAAAGCTTGACTTTCGATAAAAGAGTACACTTATGTTAGTGTTTTAATAACTGAGACTTTCTGACCGCAACCTCACGAATTTTTGGAAGTTTTACTTTACTAGCCGATCACAAGTAACTTATGCGACTCGTAATATTCTCTGTAATTTGTGAGCATTTGTGGCTCTGTGATGACGCAATGTGTGTCCATCAATTTTGCAATCTTTTGGTCTTTTAATACTTTTATTATGATTGATGATTGATGATTAACCAATCTTTTGAATAAATCTTCAAAAAGTTAATATAAATTCAAAAGATATCAGTGCCTTAGGAAAATATTCCAGTACAGTCAAGTAAAGTTTTGATGTATTGTTTCTTTTTGTCGATTAGTACAACAGACGCTAATTATAATAAGGTTGTGCAAATGGCGTATTCTCGCCTCGAGTCGTGAGACTTTTCGCTACGGCAAATTCATTAATTTGATAGCCTATCTGATAAGTATTAGTTACTGCTACATATTTATATGCCGGTAGTATTGATCCTTTTAAACTGAAGTTTATCATAATTAATTTTTGTTATATCTAATTTATTGAACAATTTATTTTCAGTGTAATAAAATTAAGTTATTTCGTTGAAAATACTTACTTCTTCATAACCACCCACTTGTTTAAACAGATCCACAGCCAAAGGCGCCAGAATAGCGGCCACATTTCCAATTGCATTAGTAATTCCCATGAGAGTACCCGCATGGTTGGGTGCGATATCTATGTGATTCACGTGGAAACCAATTAAAATACCGGTATTGCAACCTACTGCTATAACCAACATAAATACTGTTAAGGCTTTTTCTTCTGAACCAATAAAACACAGAGTAAGTAAGGCAACAGACGGTATGAATACACCTAAAAAATGAGATAAGAAATAGGTTAGCTAGTGTTCATGTAACAGAGATATATTTGAATATGTTTTTTTGAATACAGTCAACCAATGAGTCTTAACAAAGCAACTCTATTTAGAAATCGAAGAGGTTTTTAGCAGTTGAAAATAAACAAATATGCATTATTTGTATAGTTTTAAGTTTACAAACCATTAGTGGTGGTCTTTAGTGGTGAAAATATGATCACATTGGTTTTTTGTGTCAAAAAAGTTCAAATACATCTTAAAATATTATCTCGTAAATTAAAATGTTCGCGTCAATTTAATCTAATTGTACAGTACTGTGGACCACTATGTATGTGAATGTTGTATGAAATAATACATTAAGAAATAATAAAAAATGGATAAAAATTAATATGTCCTTAATTAATACTGGATATGTACTTTTTGTATATAATTTATGTAATATATTTGTTATAACTTTGTAATCTTATCTTACACAACGTCCTTAAAATTTGGTGAAATTTTAATCAACTAAAAACTAGGTGGTTGTTACTAACGAAATTATTTTAGCTAACATTGTTTTTATTTAAACAACATATTCCAAATGGCACAAAAATTGTATCTGTTATCAGTTCATTCTAATAGTTAAATTAGATTTTACTTTTTTACATTCTCACTAAAATACACAAAATTATGTTTTTCTAACTGGAACAAAACGTGTTAACTCAGCACAGATTTTTCGGTGTCAAAGAGACTCACAGTTCCGATATTATTAGAAATATAAAACTTTTAAAAACAATTTATAGAATCGGACGCAAAGATGAATAAAAAATGTGGTGAACGAATAAAAATAAAAATGAAGGATGTATAAAGGCGACAATAGAAAATATTCGTAGATGATCTCAAGATGATAACAAAGCAAAACAAATTATCCGGCTCGGAGGACCAAAATATTAAAGCGGCGGAGAAAATATTCATCGATTAATGTTATGAATAATCTACTTGAAAGATGAAACAATGAAATGGTCAATTTTCTGACTGTGGCTTTGTATGATACACTGATATGGAAATAATGACAACGCTGATATGGAAATAATGACAACGGATCAGATTTTGCATTAAACTACAGTACAAAAAAAATATTTTTATATCTGCTTTCATTAAAACTAAAAACAAAGTTTTATGCTATTTGGATTTATAATACAAAGTGATTCCAGTATCTGAATAAAATATCGTTTAGGGCATAGGTTCATACCTATACTGTTAAATATTTTTCTACTAGCACCAACAGAAGTAATCTTATTGGTAATAAGGTAATCAGCAATAGGACTCATCACCAGATTCAACAGGCAATAGATTAGATACGGAAGGGCAGACAAAGTACTGTTCTGTAAAAAAATAATACGTGTTGAAGATTCTACACCCTAACTTCTTTCTATTCAATACTTACCGATGCGATGTCGTATTTTAGAATTTTGTCCATGTATGTTGGTATTTCTGTAAGCATCGTCCAGAAGCCCCAGAGATCGCCGAAGTGGCACACCAAAATCGCCCAAAATGGAACTGATTTAAGGATATCTTTCCAAGGCGTCGGTAATTGCTAAATTAACAAAAAACACTAACATTGTAATAAACGATCACAACACCTATAAATCATCATAATAATATATATTTTATAACATTTATAAATACCTCTTTTTTCTTGTTGGTAATAATGCCATCTTGGATGAACTTGAGTTCATCTTGGGAGATATTCTTGTGTTGATGTGGACTATCTAATCCCAAGAAGATCCAACAAGCTGTCCATGTAAAACCAACGCCTCCCAATAAGTAAAAGACAGTCTGCCATCCTAGTTTTGAGCCTGAAATGTATCCCACAATGGGCATCACAATGACTGTACCAAGAGGACCACCTAAAAAATACATTTTTCTGATGTAATAAAAATATACATAAAAAGTATAGCCACTCTACTATAATGGTTCTTTTATATAAATAGGAATTAAATAATTAAAACATTAAATCCAATCCACGATTACCTGCCAGTTTGTTGACATTCAAACAAAATAATTTACTTAGGCAAGCATAACGAATGCCGAAGGGTATTCAGGAAAAATAAAAATTAATTAGACATTACATCAAATGGAACCGGGAGAAAAGAAGCTAAAAATGGGAAGGAAGACGAAATAAGTGATGAAATTTGTGAAAAAAGAAGATCGACGGCAAAACAATGTTCCACTTTAATATATAACAATAAAAAAATGTATATTGTGGTTTTGAGGTTACAGCTGAATTAGATGTTACAAATTCTGCGACAAATTGAAACTAATTAATTATCTGTTAATCTAAGAACAATATTATGACTTCCAAGTTACTATTTATAAAATTGCATCATAATTGGTTGATTGACAAACTTAATTTTTTTAACCTTCCTTGCTCACGCAAACGTCAAATAGATTTCTATTAACATCTTTCTAATTGAAGAAATTAAAATTCTACAAGTCATGACCCGACCGCGACGGGAAATACAATAATTCTATGTGGTAGTATTGAGAAGCGACAAATAATTTAGGTTTTAACGAAATAATTATATTGTTCTATTTCAAAGCCACTGTTGCGCTTGTCTACGATTTTCTTAGCTGACTTGACAAAACAAAATATTTACCGGACTGATACTATTGGATGAAATGTTTAAAAGAGGCAATTATTAGCTGACAAATTATACATAAAGTAAAATACTTTGCAACTTATTCATCATCATCATCATCATCATTGGTGATACGTCAAATTAAGCGTCGACCTTTCTAAGCTTATTTTTCTATACGGTCTTATTTTGTGCAGCTTGATGCCAGTTGACAACACCGATCAACCCAGCATTCTCATCTAGACCATCCCTCCATCTAAACCTTGACCTACCTCTGGCTTTGCCAATAAAATACGTCGTGCAGAGTAGCTTTCATTGGATCTGGCTAGATGATCTGCCCACCGTAGGCGTTTAGTTGTTATTGCACAGTAACTATATCTCTATTTTCACTAATTCTTCATACCTAATGTATAGTTACATATCATATCATCATCATCAGCCGTTTTAAGTCCACTGCCCCGTAAATAATTCCAATGCATTCTATCTTGAGCACCCTGAATCCAGTTGTGCTGAATGCGCTTGATGTCATCTGACCGCCTTGCTGGAGGACGTCCTCGATTACGATAAGCATCGTGTCTAGGTCTCCATTACAGAATTTTCTTCGTCCACCTTCCATCTTTTAATCTGGCAACATGCCCCGCCCAGTTCCATTTCAATGTTGTAATCCTTTGAACTGCATCAGTAACACCAGTTTTTCTCCTAATTATTGTATTTGATACTCTATCTCTGAGGGATATATTCATCAGTGACCTCTCCATCGCTCTCTGTGCCACTTGTATTTTATTGATTACTTTTCTGGTAAGGGTCGATGTTTCTGCTCCATACGTTAGAACTGGGAGTACACATTGATCAAAGACCTTCCTTTTCAAGCACATGGGAATATCTGATCTAAAGACTTCTCTAAGTTTTCCGTAAGCCGCCCATGCCAGTCCTATTCTCCTGTTTAGCTATATAGTTCAAAGTTATATCGACGACACCAGGTTCCATTTTCATTTATTGGACATAGTAATTTCCTCAGAACTTTCCTAAGATAAGAAGAATTATTGAACAACTTTAAAGTTATAGTCACCAATGTTAAAGTTATGTCCTGTGTACCTATGTGTATTTCTGTGACCTGTCACTGATGCCATGAACTTAGCTTTATTTTCGTTGATAACCGGACCCGCGTTGGATCTCGTTAGATTTTGAGTCAAGCGACAAGCTCCACGTCATCTGCGGATGCTAATATTTGGGTAGATTTTTAAAAAATTGTGTCTCAGTCCTCTATTTGTACTGAATTCTTCAGAGTAGGTATTTTGAATTTTTGCTTTAAATGTGACTTTTGACATTTTCATCGTTACCAATGTTATCAGTTTGGCAGGAATTCCGAAGTGTTATATTGTTTTAAATACCTTGCGTCGTACAACGGTATTATGTGCGGCTTTGAAATCTACAAATAGGTGAAAGGTGGCGATATCAAATTCTCAGGGATCTGCCTTCTCTGATCTTTTCAAGCATCTGCCTTAATACGAAAATCTGGTTTTCTCTTGATCGTCCTGGTCTAAATCCACTTTGATATCCTCTAAGAATTTCCTCAGAGTATGGACTCAGATGTGTATAAATTATGTTAGAGAGTATCTTACTGTTCTATTGTTACTGTTCCAAAAGTGTTATCCCTCTGTAATTGCCACATTTAAGCTGATGTAGTGGGCAGAGCGAACCGATGTTCGATTCCTCAAGAATTTGCTCTTCTTAACATCCTCTTACTATTATCCTGTGGACTTGCTTGGCTAGGTGAGGTGCTCACTCCAATACTTGTGAGTTCTTCCCGGATTTCATCAGTTCCTTATGCTCTATTGTTTTTCATTTTTTGGATAGATTTAAAGTTTCCTGTAAGATTGGTGGATTGACTTCTTTCTGATTTTTATCAGGGTTTAGTTGCACGGGAGAGTCGATGTTATCATCATTAGTACATAGAACACCTTTGAAATTCCCCGCTCATCTCTTTTGCATATTCTCCTGACTGACTACTTTTATCCGTGTCTCTACATAGGTTTACTCTCGGTTTAAATTCTTGTGTCGTTTATCTTTTTGTAAAACTTTGTTGCATCATTGTGGCTCCTAAGGGTTTCCAACTCTCCCATCATTTTAGTCTCACATTCTCTTTTATTTCTCTTGTGTATATTATTTTTCTCTCTTCTGGACTCCTTGTAAGATTCAACCGTTGCTCACGTTTTTCTTTGTTGCATGGCAGTATATACATAATTTTTATTCTAGTAGCTTCCCAGAACATAACATTGAACCAACTCCAATTTTGAAACTCTTCCTTTCCTGGTATCTGATTTGGTGCAGATTTTAAGATTTCTTTATATACATCCCATTCCACCTTTTATTGGGGGTTGGGGTTCCGCATCTAAGGTATTGATTAGCTCATTGATCTTATACTGGTATCTTTACGTCACTTGTTCATCCTCCTCAATTTGCAACTTATTATTGTAATAAAAGTATAAAATGATGTGCAAAGAATACAAGGACAGGAATGTTGACATCCTCTCTTCTCTGGAAGCTATCTTTGATCAGAACAAAAGGTCGAAAGAAAATATAACACATACATCTGCATATTCTTTGCACATAATTAAATATTTTGTATTGGCGCTGTAGCCTATTTAGCAGAATGATATGTTAATCACAAGGAAACAGTTCCAGGATATGGAATGTAGTACCAATGAATAGGGCGTATGAAAAAGTACTATTTTATCCGGTTTCCGTTCCTTATCTTTATGTTTTTAAGTACTTTATTTATTACTATTACAATAGTTTTTTTTGGATCGTTAAAAATCATTATCCTCTCTTATCCTATCTCTATACCGTAATGTTTCAGCAAATCCAATAATTTATTTAATAATCAAAAATAAATTACATTTTATATAAATATACAACAACTTTAAATTTAGGTTCTATTCTCGTCACTTAAAGCTTATACACAATTGAACTGCATGCATAATTTAATTTAATCTATTTTTAGAGCAATGTAGTATAATTCTCACAGAAAATCTAAATCATTATGAAACTTTAGAATTACTATGTACAAGAACAATGTGAAGTTAACTTTCCAATATTTAAATATGTATTCAAATTTATTGTCATAAATTTAAATGTTCACCGTAAGGCTGAAATTAGGAAAATTATGATTTAAGTGATAAGGGGTGAAGAAAATGCCTACAAGCAAATTGACTAACAAGTTATTTTCTTTCAAGAAAAATAGAGATTATATTTATAAAAGGCCTTAGAGACGAAGTTATTTTTAAAACGAAATATGAAAGACCGAGAATGGAATGACGATAAGAATATAAATGGAAAAGGTTTAAGAGAGGGAAGGCAGTGAAAGCTGTAATGTATTATGTATCAGCTACCTACTCTACACCAACTACGAACACTGACCTTAAATAATGCAACCAAAATCTATTGCCTTACCTGCATATACGAATCCGGCGATTTTGGCTCTGCTACTGAGCGGCACCCAGGCGCTGATCAAATGGTGAATGGATGGATAGATAAATCCTTGCATCAATCCCTGAATTATTCTACATAACATTACTCCTAGATATCCGAATTGAGCACCGCAAATAGGAATGAGTATTGAAAATAGTGAGCAAATCATCATTGCTCCGGACAAAAATAATTTTGGACCGAAGCGTTCGGCAAGTTGACCGGCTGGAATTTGGGTAAGCACGTAACCCCAAAAGAAGGATGATAACATTACGTTTTTGCTGCCTGCCCAGTCCGGATAAGTCTGAAAAAAAAAAGAATTATTATTTTAACTAGTCTCTATAACACAGATGAAATGATTAAAATATGAAAAGATTTTTTAAAAGGTCGCAATGATACCTATGTAGGTAATACTTTACAGAAAAGTAATTGATGTTACTATGTACAGTTCGTTTAATATTTAATTTATTTTAATAATTAGTTCAGCGAGCAGTATTTGAATCCAGCAATTGCTTACACTTTAACAAGGATATAAAAACCCGAGCTATCGGTCCTGAGTCAGTTATGCGGTTAGAATTATATTGACAAATTTCTTTACGTAAGTTTTATACAGTGGTGAGTGCGATATCAGCCGGCTTTTTAACGTAAGAGATAGAAAACACAGTTACCTTGTGAAATAAAAGGAGATGAAACTCGTAGAGGTGGGAAATAATCGATAGAAACCTATAATTTACATTACATTACATTACGACTATCGATTTTTTTAATAAATTTTCGTTTATTAAAAAAATTAATAAATGAAAATAATTTCTATCCTTGTGTGATCGGTACACACCGGAGGGACCGCAGACGTTCGGATACAATTAGCGTCTCTTAGCAAAGACAATGACGTCGACTTTGCTAAGTATCAAGACAATTACTCTACACGCACACACACACACACACACACACACACACACACACACACACACACACACACACACACACACACACACACACACTACACCTCAAATTGTAAGATTGGCGAATGGATTTAGTGTCCGTAGTCATTTAAACACAAACAAACAATAACAACAACAAACGACTATCGATAGTCTCACACCTTTAGACGTTACCTTCGATCTAAATCACCTCGGTCATAATTATTATGTTTGACAGTTTGACGTCGTATGTGTGACGTATTTCCATTTTTTTATTTAGATAAAGTAAAAACTGATTGACCACAATAAAGCAAAAATGTGAATAAAATAATTTAATTAATAGTGATTATTTATTCTAAAGTTTTAAATTATTAACCAAGAATAATTTCTACTATGATTTGAGGAGTTTCATACCCTCTTGTCACAGAATAATTAGCAATCCTTCGTGGATTAGTGGTAAGAATTCGACTCTGCTACGCAGATGATTAGAGTTCAAAACCTACATGAGGTTTTCTTTTTTCTTTTTTTAATAATTTGAAATTTTGCGGAGATCGTTTTGCTTTGAATCACTAAACATTTATGTCAGTCGTTACTAGTATTTGAAGTGTTTAAAGTTAAACATAAATATCTTATTGAAAAAATAGTGTCGTCGTACTTTCGAAACTAAAGTAAAATTCTTCAAAATTAAAAGAATGTTTAAATAAGTAAAAATTTTACAAAAATAAAAAAAATATTGTAAATAAACGTATTTACAATATGTTCAAATAAACCTTCATTAGCTGCACAATAATAACCCAAACTGTCACTAAAGAATTATAAAAGTCTGATAGATCAGGGCTGAAGGCACGATGTACTCATGCAGGCGGTTAGGGTTCAAATCCTACAAAAAGTTTTTACTTTTTTAAAAATTTGAAATTATGCAGGTATTATATCGTTTTGCTTTAAATCATAAAACATTTATTTCAGTCTTTATTAGAAGTGTTTATAGTAAAACATGAAAATTTTATTGAAAAAACAATGTACTTTCTAAAATAAAGTAAAATTTCTTCAAACATAAAAGAACGTTCTAAATAAATGTACTTACAAAAAAAGTTTAAATAAGCAGAAATTCTATAAAAATATTCTAAATAAACGTATTTTATTCTAATGAAATGTATTTACAAAAAATGTTCAAATAAGCCTCAATTAGCAGCAGAACAATAACCCAATCTATTTCGTCTAACATTAGTTAATGTTTCTTAACTAATACCTCTCATTGAATCAAAGATCTTTTCTCTTAATTTTTGGAGAGAATTAGGCCTATCAATTCCATATAGTTTGGACTTGATATATCCCCACATAAAAAAATCACAAGGTGCAAGATCAGGTGATCTTACAGGCCAAAAAATATCTCCGTGTCCACTAATCAATCGATTAGGAAAAGTCGCACTGAGATATTCACTGACGATGCGAGAATTATGTGCAGGACAACCATCGTGTTGAAACCATATGGAATCGAAAGGAATTGGTAAATTACGAAGGGCTGGGACAATTTGATTTTGCAGAAGTTCCAAGTATTTCCGCCCAGTCAACATACCGTCTATAAAAAATGGACCAATGACATGATTCCCTATTATGCCTCCCCAAACATTTACTTTTTGAGGACGCTGGGTACGAGCAACATAAATCTGACGAGGATTTCCTCGGGACCAATACCGAGCATTCATTGAATTGTGACGGCCATGCAATGAAAACGTACATTCATCGGTGAACAAGACGTTCTCTAAAAAATGTTCATCTTGATGTGACATTTCCATTGCAGTTTGACAAAATTCTAAACGTCTATATTGATCCCCAGGGAATTGTTCGTTGGATTTATGAAGTTTATAGGGTCGGTATCCATGCCTTTTCAAAATTTTACCAACTCTAAATCTTGAAATTCCATATGTTCTCCGAGACGAGATGTTGGTTGGGTAGGATTTTGCTCAATACTTGCACAAATCAAAGTGTCTCTTAGTTCCAAATCTGGATTTACCTCCCTTCGCCTACGAACTCCTCTTGGAGCGAACACGGATCCATAAGTAAAAAAATTACGTATAATAGATTGAATTGTTGATCGAGATGGAGCCGGCCTATTTGGAAACATATTTACAAATTGTTGTCTAATCATGTTGTCTGAGAATCCATTCACATGCCAGACAACAATTTGCACTTTTTCCTCGACCGTTAAAACCATTTTCACGAATTGTTTTTTCAATAAAAAGTTTCTGTTTACCGTGCAAAAACACTTCTCGATATGTTATTATTTGATGGCTTAAAGGCTTTGCTTCGCGCGCATCCATTCCAATGTTGTCAATTGTTTTGAAAATCATTATCTGTACAGAGGAATTGATATTAACATTGAGAATTTAGTGATGGATTTGATATAAACAGTCTTCACCGGATTATTTTGCATTCACAACTGAAGACTGTATGAATTGAATTTGAATCATTTTGTATTTCCGTTTTATAACATTGGAATAAAAATAAATTGTAAATAATGAGTTTTTCGAAAATTTGTTACCTAATATGTATCATATTTTCTATTATTTTTTTATTGATAAAACAAAAATTTTATCCTTGGTGTGGAATTGAACCCCAATTTTCTCGTCAATAGACAACGTCCCTAACCACTACACCAATTTCACATACATTAAGTGTTTCCAGACAAAACATACCTATTTTTATTTTAGTCAAATATTTCAGTTGAGTTATTTTTACTATTAAGTAAATTTAAAGATTTATAATTTAAAATCGCTACTAATGAATGTTTTTTACTATAACATATCTTAATTTATTCAAGTATTTATACTAACATCAGAAATTATTAAAATAAAATGATTGAATGACTGAAGTCAAATAGCCACGTCTAACGTCTAAAGGTGTGAGATTGTCGATGGTGGTAATGCAATGTAATGTAAATTATAGGTTTCTATCGATTATTTCCCACCTCTACGAGTTTCATCTCCTTTTATTTCACAAAGTAACTGTGTTTTCTATCTCTTACGTTAAAAAGCCGGATGATATCGCACTCACCACTGTATACTTAGTGTGTATTTTTGACAAATATGGTCCTTACATGCCAAAAAAATAAGCTAATAAAAATAATATTAAATAAAAAAGCAGATAATATATAAACCTCAAATAGTAGATTATATATTTTGCGAATTCTAAATGAGTAACAATTACTATCGGTACTCGTCTGCTGCAGTCATTCGGAAGTCACTAATAAATGAGTATGGAAAAAAATTAAGCCGATTTTACATAGTTACAAGGCATTTATTCATTACGTACAACACAGAAATACAAAAGCGTATCGCATGAAATATCTCGATAGTTAGTAGTGTAAAGAAGCTGCAGCATAGCCGTACGACCTTATACTGCAATTATTAGCGTTTGGCTTTTTTGGGATTGGTATAAAAGTTGATTGAAGCCAGTCCTGTGGTATTTGACCGGACCCATAAATGTCATTAAGAAGATCTACCATGGCGTCTATATTGTTTTCACTCAACATTGTTAGAACCTATATATATTTATATATATATAGGCCCAGACGACATATATATATATATATATATATATATATATATATTATATATATATATATATATATATATATATATATATATATATATATATATGTCGTCTGGGCCTGGTGCTTTTCCCCATTTCCTCTGTTTGATTGCCCTTACAACTTCTGACAATATTTTGGGGGAGGGTTCACTTTTATATTCACTTTCAGAGTTTCTTTTAGTATTGCCTGAGTAAAGTTGATGTGTAGTTTCTCCAATGTTGAAGAAAATCCTTGGGATCAGTAATTAATTTATTGTCCCTCACAGTACTGTTAAAACTGCAAGTGAAATGCAGATAAATGTCAATTGTTATCGTCAATGTCTGATAATGCATGCTATCTCAACAACGTTTGTAGTAAATTAGTAATATTTCTAAAAGCAATCAACAAAAACTTTTAAAAAATGAGTGGTAATTTAGATTATAACACTTCATACAACTTTGCTGTACGAGTGTGATTTGGGACATTATTATATTAGTGGTGCCATCCGAATGATCTGTTACATAAGAAAAACATTAAAAATTATTACAGTTGATAATACTTTGGAAAACATTAGTAATGTGCTGTATGACGTTTTTATTACTTTAACTGTTTCGGTAAATGAATCACAAAAGTATCTCAATTAGTGTAAAAAGAGATAAATCTCAATCAAGTAAATGAATACTATTTTAAAAATAGGAAAGATAAGTGTACTTTAGATAATATTTACACCATGATATCCGCAATTACTACATTGGCAAATTTCAAATTATTATATGTATAAGCAGCTGATTACTAGGTATTGCTTTTATTGAT